AAATCTTTTCTTCTATAAGAATAGCGGACTTTTAGTAGGAATTTATTTTACTTGATTCTATGAAATAGTAGTTTTTTCATCTATAAATAAATCAAAATTACATCTTACATTTTTCGATCTAATGTTTTTTTTCGCTTTTGAGTTTTGTATGAAATTTTATTCAATTTCCTTCATAATTAATTTAGAAATTTTGTTTTCATCATTTTTGCCTATTAATTCTCGAAAAACCGGAATAATCCGGAATAACCGGAGATCCGGGACTGTCACGGCCAAACCGGGATGTATGGTCACCTTACGAGTGAAAATGAAAAAATCAATTTTCAGTTTCAAATATAAAATTTAATTCAGATCAAAAATATGTTACCAATTAAAACTAGATACTTCTATGACAAAGTAAAAATTAGATTATATAAAATTACATAAATTATGAATAATAAATAATATATGATATAAAAAAGTGCCTTGTTTTACACGATGTCCTCGAACGAAAAAATATAAGGAATAAAGGAATTGGGAAGAAGAATAATGCAGATGATTGATGACTGAAGCAACACAAAAAAATATAGGGAACCGAACGCCAAAGTACAAGGCCAGGAAACATGGAGCAAGTTTGGAAAGGAAAATGTATAAAGTGAATGAAAAGTGGTAATAAAATGGTAATAGGAATAATATACACATAAGGGAAAGAAAATCATTAATTTATGAGGCTCTTGCACCATGGACCTGCCTTTGTGCAGACCACCATTTTTTATTTATTATTATTATGAAAATAATATATGTGCCGTTTGTATGTAAATCAGATCGATACAAATTCGTGGAATGGGAGTTACAAAGTTTGCTATATTTTTTTTACAATAATTGAATAGCAATAAAAAAAATCTATAAGCTATTATGTTGATTTGCTATAAAATTTGAAGAAATTATAGACATTGAGGGGATAAGGATATTTGAGCTAGAAGCAGATAATTTAATAAATATTGGCTTTTCACTCTGAACACGTATTATACATATTCTATTTTCTCACATCGGCTATAATGATATTTAAAAAATACCTCGATAGTAGAAATATTATCTAACAATTATAATTTTGCTTTGATGTAAAAAGTACGGATGGGTTTTCCAATGATTGTTTTTATACAACAAATAAATATGCCACTTCATTCCTAAAATAATCTCCTCACATGTTTTTCTGTTATCTCATGGAAGATGTTTTCATCTAATCTTTTTTAGTAAGTTCAATTAAAGTATATTCGAAAACCACATAATTAGATATACTACTTATATAGATAAGTGGTGCCTAATAATAATGAATAATGAATATGATGACGTTTTATTGCAAAATATAGATCGATATAGAGTATAGTAAGTATATACATGCTCATTACAATTTTTGACATCCAAAAAATATGTATATATATAATATATATTATCAATATATATATATATATATATATATATATATATATATATATCTTTTCAAAAATTGCTCAGAACTTATACCTACTATAAATCTATCAATGCAACAGGGTGTTAGTTATTAACCGAGGGAATTCCCTTCAATTAAGGGCAATACGTATCAAACAAGTTCGTACACAGCTTGCAGTTATTTTCTGATAAATTGAAATAAATAAAGCAAAGTCGTCTTCGATATTACAAGCTGGCTTGCGTCTTTACGACTAGAATTTCTGTACTTACCTATGCAATTGCGTGGACCAGTTCCGAATGGGAAATACGTGTAGGGAATCTATTTCTTTTGGCTTCATCAGTAAATCGTTCAGGATTAAATTTCTCAGGATCAGGGAAATACTAAATGATATATATAATTTGTATATTTGACTTATTTTTCTTCATATTGAATTCATTACTTACTTCTGGATCCATGTGTAATCCAAGCATCGGAATATATATTGGTGTTCCAGGTTCCAAAACAACATCGTCATGAGGTTTTGGAAGGCGATATCCATTTGAATTATCAACTACTTTTCGATCCAAGAACGCCAATGGTGGATATTTTCTCAAAGTTTCTGCATAACAAAGTAATATATAACATGTGATCAGTTTTATGTACTGCATTATTTACCTGATATAACCATGTCCAAATATGACATTTTATTGATGGATTCGTAAGTGATGTCGTCTTCCGCAACTATTTCTTTGATTTCAGCACGAAGTTTTTTTTGTACATCTGGGTTAATAGCTAATTCATATAAAGTGTAAGACATTGTACTAGATGAGGTTTCAAAACCTGCAGTGAAAAATACAGCTGCTTGGGCTACCAAAGTGTCACCATCAAATTCTACAACAACAAGATGATTATAAATTTTATAAAACCAATAGAAAAATAAATCAGCAATTTTTACTTATTTCTCCTGGTGCTGTTTTAGCATTTTTTAAGTCTATTAGTACATCAACTAAATCGTGTCGTTTTGTTTTGGACTCTTCACGTATTCTAATAGTTTCGTTGAAAGTGTTGCGGATGAATTCAGTTCCTTCATGGGCAAAAAATTTTAAACCTAGTAAACTCACAATTCTAGGAAAGAAGAAAAATGAACTTGCTTCAAACACTCGTCTGAAGCTAACTTCAAAAATTTTTCTTCCAATTGATCTAAATTCAGCTTCTGGATTGTTCATGCAATTTGCTTTGATTCCATAAGCGCAGGTCGCGATAACATCGGTTGTGTATCTAGCACTTAATTCCCTTGCATTGTCACTTGGTTGTTTAGAATCAGCTAATTTGTGTAAATATTCATTTAAGTTTCTTCCTTCATCATTCATAAGATGAAACATACTCTTCATTTTTCCTGAGGTGAAAATGGGCGTCAGCTTCACACGCATTTGTTTCCAATCTGGATTTTTAATGCTAAATAAATTTTTTGTTCCTAAAGTATCACCATCTCCAGCCACAGCTACAATACGGTCGTAGAAGAAGTTAAAATCTTTAACTAAAATTGTCTTGATCCATTCAGGGTCCCGTACCAGCAACGAAGGTTTGTTGAACACGTACATTCCTAAAGCTGGTGCTTTGGTCCTTTCATATAAAGACTTCATGAAAACTCCTGAATTCACTTTGGCCAACAGGACATCTTTAAAGTTTCCAACAAATGGAAGCGGTCTGAAACTTGCTATTCCTTTCGACGACCAATAAGTAGAATAACTATGGTAATAATAAATAAATGTTCCTACAAATGTAAGTAATAATAGAAATATATTTATCAAGTCCATTTTGAAGGAACTGTATTCGACACTTCAAATATTGTCTAAAACTAAATCTCATTCCGTAATGTGTTGGCCTTTTATAGTTCGCATAATGTATAATCATGAACTTTAAGATATTGAAATTAATATCTATTATATAAAGATAAACAGAGACAGTGATTTGTATAAAATAACACGCGATAGATGATACACACGCGAAATCATACAATTCAGAAGCGGCTGCAAAAATTTGGCGAAAAATTTAATTCCATTTAAAAGATTTATGACTACAGAATTATTAAATAGTACAAAAATTATTATTTAAAATACAATTTAATTTATTACTTTTACTCAAAATGACTTAAATCGATTTGAATAAATAAAAAAAATACAAAAAAACGCAATTAATGCATTGTTTTTTCAAAAAACAGTTTACACAATGTTTTTTTTTCATGTTTTACAAATAAAATCAAATCTATTCAAAATAATATAAAATATTGTTGTAATTAGTATTGCAGATGTTCGTCCCAGAAGATGATCTTGATAGAATTACTTGCCAGAAATAAGATTTATTAGACCACGTTGTTCCTGGTAGTTTTCAAGTGTCGGTTGGAAGACTTTGTTACCAGACTGGACGTTATCTATTTAACCAGTCAAGATATCAGGATTTACAAGAACCAACCATAAAAATAGAGATGCCTTAGAAAAAACAAATTTCTATGTATTTTATCGTTAGTGGTGATAATTTTGTTGATCACAAGTTTCAAAACACAAGATTTTGCTCGTGGTTAAATAATTTGACTCGAAGTAATAATTTTTCTCGATTTTTGAGCACTTTTTATACGAGTTTGTTTAATAATTTTGTTAGTGTTGTATAGTTTTATAAATGCATTTATAGTATTACAGTGCAGTGATAGTGTCTTGTTCCCGATTTCTGATTCCTGGTTCCAGGTTCCTAGTCAGCTCTCTTCTGGAAATCCTGAGGTAATGTACAGTTTTTTTAGCACAAGTCAATATCTTATAGAACATTTAAAAAAAAAAAAATTCTTTATTCTTCAGACAACAAATTGGTAATCGGGATGTTCCAGAAGAATCGGTGATTATAAGCAAAGGTCAGTGCATTTTGTTTTCTAGGCATGATTCCTAAGGGTACGGTCACACGTCTCGTTGAGGATTCACAAAAATAAAACTCTAATTATCTTCATTATTTTTCGATGTTTATCGATATTTTTTGAATCATGTTAATTTTCTAATCAAAATTGCCGATTTTCTACATAAATTCTAATCTCGTATTTTTTTTTAACTTTTCGGGAAGTTACAACTTGCTAATAGGAACCATTTCATACACATACACCAATTCCAAAAGTTTTTGTGAAAACCCTTCGTTGACGAACCATATTACACTTATTTATTAATTCATTAGTCAATTTATTAGTAACCAAGCAAAAATAAAAAAACATTTTAGAGAATATAAATTATCCTCTCAAAGGATATAATAATATTATATTACCTAAATTAATTAATGAGAAATTAATAACTTAAAACATAGTTGCTTAAAATGTTTTTGCAAAGTTACCAATAAATTGTATTAATATCGAGTGTAAATAGATAATTGCGTTATATAGATAGGTTTAATCGTAAACTAGGTTATAGATAGGAAATTGTCAAATGATTATATAACTAACTAATTATATAATTATTATCATTATTTTATTTTAAATTGTGATCGTACCCTTCATACTAATCCACAAATTTGTTTCAGCTTAATAAAAAAGACCTCTTAAAATAGAAGTGAGTGTTGTAAGTAATAAAATTCGCGTAAATTATTTATTAAAACAAAAGTGCCAATTAAATCAATTTTGCATAATTTCGCGTATAATAAAGTGTGTGTGTGAAAAATTTGACTCTGCAATTTTGCGAAGAAATGCTGACATCATGCAGCCTGAGAGGTAAGAAAAAGCAGCATTAGATTTTATTTTATTTATAAGTGATGATTTGGGGCAGGCAAACAGGTTATTTTTCGGAACTTCATTACAACAAAAGTGTGTGAAATTTTTAGGATTTTGATATAAATTGAAAATTTTCAAAAAAAAAAATTTTAATGTAAGTTTTTGAAAAATTTAGAGAAAATTGATTTTTCTAAATTTTATTTAAATTTTTATAAAATCGACTTTTGACATCAGTTTCGATTTTTTTAAACAAATGATTTCTATACACCGGCTACATAATATTTTTTGAATCATTCTAATCGGATGATATGTTCTCTCAAAAAAACTGCATGACCATTTTTTGCACTCTTTGCGCTCAGTACATTATACAGAATTAAAAAAAAAAATTGTACTCATTATTAAAACCTATACAACATATCTGATAATTTTATACGCATACATCTAATAATTATTTTTGGCAAGCAATTTTTTTTTTTTTTAATTTTTTTTATTTTATTGTCAATAAAAATAATATACATTTGCTGCATACAACATGCTGGGTGTAAATGCATTTAAGAGATTATCTCCTATGAGATCTCTCTTTTTCAAATATTAAAGATATGCAAAAAAAATCATTTTCGATTTTTTTTTTTGCAATTACTATAACCTACAAAAATTTAATAAAAACAAAAATTCATTTATTTATATATTTATTTACATTTTATTAATTGTGCATACAATATAAGCTTAGTCATATATTTAATTATAACATGATTATAACATAAATCTATTTGATCGATGATATTAGTCACAACCTCTATTTTCATTATTTGGTTAATATCAATTTCACAAAAATTGACTAATAATGGTGCTCCTAAGCAACTTATCTACAATAATTACAATAAAAACACTATAATAACAAGATAATTTGATATACATCTTATCAAATCAAACTAATTACATAAATATCACCATAATTTAACAATGCTATCATCAATCAATATCTAAAAGGCGTATCAATATTGCACAACGAATAAAAAACAAATTTGCAGATCATATAAATGTCATTAAGCCGCTGTTAAGATTACTTCTAAATTATGAGATGTTTGAAATAATAACAATTTACAGTATCTAATTTTGTAATAAATTCGTGTAAGCTTCACTAAATATATGTGAGTAAAATTACTTGTATTATAGAACATTTGGGTAAAAAATATTTTGCTGGGGAAAATGTTCTTAGACTTTAGTTTCAGGAATTAAAACACATAATTCTATGAATTATTTTTGTATCATTTCACTTCAGGTGGTATATGAGGAAAATTAAATAATATTGAAACATATTAAAAATTTCACACGAAAAAATAAGTTTGCGTATTAACCCTTTTCACTCGCAAAATGAGATGTATATGTATTTTGCTGCCGGAGCGGCGGCATCCGAGTGAAAAGGGTTAATATGAACGTTATTAACGACTTGATGAACAAAAATCGATATACTAGTATATATCACGAGTATGTTCACTGTAAAAATTATATATCACGAAAACTTGTATTTAAAATTTAAAAATTCAAGATTTATGATTTATTACCTTTTTGCTACTAGAGTATGTTTCACACGTGTGCAACTGCTGTACGAGCCACCAAGCCGCTCAAGTATTTGTTACACAAAATTGTTTAGATTTTTCAGTAATTATCAATATAATAAAATAACTAAAAACCACATTAGCAATTTAAAATTCTCAATAATTTAACTCGACGATAAATAATAAAGTAAAATTTGACACACAATATGTCGTCTATAGGCGACACTCCTACACACAGGTCGTCAAATGGATGTCGCTTTATAGGATAACTTTATCTCGTGTTGTTACCATCGGCCACAGAATTTGACAGGTGCTGTCTTAAGCTCTCAAGAATTTCAAATTAATCGTGTCTTTCGGAGTCAGCAAGAAGGACAACGGAGTGAATGTGATCTTGCTGGGCGTGTCCGCGCACGGATGGACGGTGAAGTCTTTTAGCATGTGCACCAGACCCAGTTTTGTCTGCAGAAGACCGAATCTCTCACCTGGAACGATGGTAATGAAAACAAAAGTGAAGCCAAGAGATACAAGAATATAATACAGATCGATGCAAATACGTGGGACCGGAGTTCCATATCAAACATACATAGATTACTACAGGCGCATATACTTCAAACTTAAACTTGGCAAAACGTGGATATTGAGAAGAACCATATCATTGAAAGTTGTGTATTTGTATATATGCACATTTCAGTTTGGACGTTTACAAAAAGGTGGAATCATTGATATATATGGGTATTTGGCATCTTCATTTAACGCATGAGAAATTTATTGATCAATTGATATTATTTTATTAACAAATTGCTCAGAGCTTGTACTTTGAATCTGTTAATGCAACAAGTTTGTCAGTTATTAACAGAGGGTAATTCCCTGCAATAAAGGGCATTTACGTATCAAACACGTCAGTATACCAGTTTGCAGTTATTTTCTGATAAAATTAAAATAAATGAAGCAAAGTCGTCTTCGATATTACAAGCCGCTTGCGTCTTCACGACTAGAATTTCTGTACTTACCTATGCAATTGCGTGGACCAGTTCCAAATGGGAAATACGTGTAGGGAATTCTATTTCTTTTGGCTTCATCAGTAAATCGTTCAGGATCAAATTTCTCAGGATCAGGGAAATACTACATAATATAAAAATTTAATTTTTCATATCCAACATATTTTCATTTATATCGATTTTATTACTTACCTCTGGGTCCATGTGTACTGCAAGCATAGGGATATATATTGGCGTTCCAGGTTCCAAAATAACATCATCATGAGGTTTTGGAAGACGATATCCAGTTGAATTATCAGCTACTTTTCGGTCCAAAAACGCCAATGGTGGATATTTTCTCAACGTTTCTGAATAACAAAATATTATATAGCATGTAATCAGTTTTGTGATTTACTGCAATATTTACCTGATATAACCATGTCTAAATATGACATTTTATTGATGGATTCGTAAGTGATGTCGTCTTCATCAAGTATTTCTTTGATTTCAGCACGAAGTTTTTCTTGTATATCTGGGTTAAGAGCTAATTCATATAAACTGTAAGACATTGTACTAGAAGAGGTTTCAAAACCAGCAGTGAAAAATACAGCTGCTTGAGCTACCAAAGTGTCACCATCGAATCCTACAAAAACAAAATGCTCAAAAAAAATTTATAAAACTAATTGCAAAAAACTAAGAAGTTATGTTTACTTATTTCTCCTGGTGCTGTTTGAGCATTTTTTAGGTCTATTAGTACATCGACCAAGTCGTGTCGTTTTGTTTTAGACTCTTCACGAATTCTTATAGTTTCATTGAAAGTGTTACGGATGAACTCAGTTCCTTCATGCGCGAATAATTTTAAACCTAGTAAATTCACAACTCTAGGAAAGAAAAAAAATGAACCTAATTCTAACACTCGTCTAAGACTAACTTCAAATATTTTTCTTCCAATTGATCTGAATTCAGCTTCAGGATTGTTCATACAGTTTGCTTTGATTCCATAAGCGCAAGTCGCAATAACATCGGTGGTGTATCTTGCACTTAATTCCCTTGCATTGTCACTTGGTTCCTTGGAATCAGCTAATTTGTGTAAATATTCATTTAAAATTTTTCCTTCATCATTCATGAGATGAAACATGTTCTTCATTTTTCCTGACGTGAAAATTGGCGTCAGTTTGACACGCATTTGTTTCCAATCTGGATTTTTAATACTAAAAAGGTTTTTTGTTCCTAAAGTATCACTATCTCCATCTAAAGCCACGATACGATCGTGGAAGTAGTTGAAATCTTTAACTAAAATGGTTTTGATCCATTCAGGATCCCGTATCAACAATGAAGGTTTGTTGAACACGTATATTCCTAAAGCTGATGCTTTAGTCTTATCATACAAAGACTTCATAAAAAGCCCCGAATTTATTTTGGCCAAAGCGACATCTTTAAAGTTTCCAAGAAATGGAAGCGGTCTGAAACTTGCGATTCCTTTTGACGACCAATAAGTAGAATAATTATAGTAATAGTAAATAAATGTTCCTATGAATGTAATTAATAATAGTAATACATTTATCAAATCCATTTTGAAGGAACTGTGTCTCAACACTTTACATCAAATTTTGACTAAAACTAAAGTTCATTCAAAAATGTGTTTGCCTTTTATATTCGCATAATGAGTAATCATGAACTTGAATTTATTGAAATTAATATCTATTATATAAAGATAAACAGAGACAGTGATTTGTTTTAAATAACACGCGATAGATACATACGGAATTATATAATTAAGAAGCGGCTGCAAAAATTTGGACGAAAAATTTAGTTAAATTTGGATATTTATGAATAAAAAGAATATGCTTGTCGACCTGCGTCTATGAGTGTTGCCTTTGGACGTGATAAATTTTGCTTCATTTTTTTACATTTTGTGTTCAGTTATTGAGAATTCTAATTTTTCATTTCTTGTTGTATTTTTAGTTGCTTAGAAGTGTAGTTTTTAATTTTTGAATGTGTTATTATTGGTAATGTTTGAAAAATTCACTATACTTGGCCGTCTTTTTGGCTCGTGCAGCAATGTCTCTTCTGCTTAAAATGCCCACCAAGAAAAGGGTTATATTTATATTATTAAATATTGCTATTGCAGAGCTCTATATACATGTTCAATAACTTGTACTAATTTTATTTTAAAAATTTTATTAAATATTCTAATTATAAAGATATTTTGAATACTATATAAATGGTACTATAATTATAGCATTCTTGTAGATTTACACGTTGTATCATTATATAATTACAAAAATTATGAAATAAGACTTTGAACTTGACAAATATTATGAAATATTACACAATTTCTACAAATGCATGTCTCCTTAAAATTTAGCTTACGTACTTTAGGCCTGATACGCAACATCATGCGCAAAACCCGTTTTTATTCATAAAAAATTACGCAAAAAACCTGCTGCTTAATTTACAAGGTGATTACTGTATTTATTTTTGACTAATTATTCTATCTAAGCCATCATCGTAATGTTCAATACTACACCTATTCATTTCCTGATGAAATTAATTAGATTAATTAATTCTTGTTGTATTAAAATGATATGCAATTTGACAAAACAGCACTTTCTACGTCGTTAAAAATTTTGCACATAACCTATAGCAGGTTATGTGTAAGAAAAAGCTAATTAGAAATGGATATTAATTTTTTGCTCATTAAAAAATGTTCAAGCTTTTTATGTGGAAACTCTTATACTTGCATTTTGATTCAGTTCGTTATTCAGTTAACTTTTAAATGATAATGTTGCTCGTAATCACTTTATTAAAGATAAATTTATTTTGCATCAAAATGACATATTTAATTAACAAAACATAACTCTTTATAATTTATCTACAGCATCTTAAATTGTGCATCTAAAAAGCCCATCGAAAAGTTAATTTTTAATTTTTTTTTTCAATTCATTTATCAGCAATAAAGCGAACTTAACAAGTCCTAAAAGCTGTTGTGCTGATTTGTGTCGTTTAGGCTTTTGTATATGGCATCGTATTTTATGAATTTATTATTGCAATTTCGGTTATAATGAGTATGTTCGTGCATATTCCATGTAAAACCGATCTATATTTCCATGTAAAACCGATGTCACTACTGTTTGACATCAGGCTGTCGGACGCCTTGATTCAAAGTCCATAGCTCTAACCACTAATTCACCAGAGCACCCATAAAAAAATGAAATGAATTTTCTGACAATCATTTTACTTTTAATGAATATGCGTGCTTGTATCTAATTACATGACAAAATTTGAAATAGATGCATTAGTCGATTTTGTTCATTATATAGAATAAATGCTGATGGTATTTTACATATAAACTAGCACAAACTAGTCTCGGGTTCCATCCCAACTTAGACCAACTCGATATCGAGCGGTATGATATCAAATTTCCACTTCAGGTTACAGATTTCAATTATATTCTCAAGTGAAAATAGCCTTTTCTGGGCTATATAACAAGTAGATTTTTTTGGTTCCGAAGTGTATTAATTCAATATTGTTTTTATTTTGTTTTTTTAACTACCTTATAAACAAAAACAAATTATAAATTATATAAATATTTATTTTCTATATTTAATTAATTGTGCGTACAATACAAGCTTACTCATATATATAATTTTAACGCAAAAATATTTGACTGATATCAGTCACAATCTCTATTTTGAATATTTGAATAATATCAATTTTATAAATAAGTTTGCGAATAATTGTGCTCGCGGCAACTTATCTGCAATGATTCAAATAAAAATATTATAATAACATGATAAATTAAATATCTTATCAAGTTTTCTAATTACATAAATATCTCCATAATTCAACAATGCTATCAAATTAATCATTCATCAAAATTTGAATGGCTTATCAGTATTGCACTACGAATAAAAAACAAATTTTTAATTGATGATTGTCTATTGAGCATCTTATTCCGCAAAAAAAAATTTTTTTTTTTTACAAAAATGTTATATTATTAGAACAAGTTTTGTATGCAAAAGGGCTATCGTTTACCGAATTTTATCTGAGGAAGTATGAGAAAGAAATGAATTAATATTTAAACATTTAATTATTTCACATGAAAAAGAAGAAATTTGATATTGATATAAACATCTTTAAATTTTTACATGAGATGAACAAAAATCGATATAATAATAGTATATATCATGAGTATGTTCACCGTGAAAATTAGATATCACGAAAACTAATAATTAGAAATGAAAAATTCAGAAGATGTATGATTTTCAAAATAGAAATGTCAAACGCTAACAATATTTCAAAAATTTCATAATCAAAATCAAGCAATATATTCAAGCAAATTTAGTAAAATTTTAAAAATGTTCATAATTATATCAAGCTTGCTTTTACTTGATATGATAAATAATATGTTAAATATTATTTATCATATAAAGTATAAGCAAGCTCGATATAATTATGAACATTTTTAAAATTTTACTTAAAATCAAAACGCTAGTGAAAATAATGTATTACGAAAACTTACATTTGAAAATTAAAAAGTTGAGTTTGGAAGTACGAGAGTGATTTGCCCAGGGGTAACACTACTGTACAAGCCAACAAGTTGCTCAAGTATCTGTGACACATATTATTTTAAGATTTTACAGTAATTGCATAAAAATGCATTTAACAATTAAATATTTTACTTCCAAAAGAATCTGGAAATAACATAATAATATTCTAGAAACATGATAAAAAACTTGAAATATATACATTTGCATGTTACAGTTTTACTAACGTGCGGTTGCAATTGATCAAAAATACCACACGTTGTTCTATTTAGAGACAAACCTATTTGCAAATATTATTTTACCACGATGTCTTGTTTATCGAAAAATCACACTATTTGATGATTTGGGCTTGCCCGTAGGTAAGCGGTTAAGAGCGACGGGACTTGTTTCGGAGGTCCCGGGTTCGATACCCACTTCGAGCAGCTTGTTGTCAAGCAGCAGTGACAACGATTTTCACTTGGAAATATAGATAGCAATATATTTCCAAGTAAAAATAGCCCTTACCCGACATTGCTGCACCAATAAAAAGTCAGCCCTATTAGATTAATTCTAATCCAAAATCATCAAATATGGATGGATTAACCATTGGGTTACCATCTAAAAAAATATGAAGTCAGAAGTTTTAGCCCAACAGCTCATAAGACGTAAGGTTTTGATTGCTGTTGAAAAATATAAAGAAATAGTAAAAAAAAAATTGATGATTTTATCTCGTGTTGTTACCATCGGCCACAGAATTTGCTAGGTGTCATCTTAAGCTCTCAAGAATTTCAAATTGATTGTGTCTTTCGGAGTCAGCAAGAAGGACAACGGAGTGAATGTGATCTTGCTGGGCGTGTCCGCGCATGGATGGACGGTAAAGTCTTTTAGCATGTGCACCAGACCCAGTTTTGTCTGCAGAAGACCGAATCTCTCACCTGGAACGATGGTAATGAAAACAAAAGTAAAGCCGAGAGATATGAGAATATAAATCAGATCAGATTAGTGAGCCATCAATGAATTTATATTATACCATATACCATGTATGTTCATGCCGATACAGTAATACCAGTATATACTGCTATCACTGTATTATTATATACATCAGTATATTGATAAACATTATGACAAATTGTAACCAAAAGATACCGGGTTCAAACTTGCGTTACGGACAACATAATATCAGTGAAAAGTAAGATGAGCAAATTTTTGAAACCGGGATGGCAGCTATTAGTTACAGTAATCCTAGACGGTGGGTGGGGTGTGATAATAAAAAATGCCATTTAAGGATACAATAAACATTTTTTTGTATAAATCTTTTCTTCTATAAGAATAGCGGACTTTTAGTAGGAATTTATTTTACTTGATTCTATGAAATAGTTTTTCATCTATAAAATAAATCAAAATTACATCTTACATTTTTCGATCTAATGTTTTTTTTTCGCTTTTGAGTTTTGTATGAAATTTTATTCAATTTCCTTCATAATCAATTTAGAAATTTTGTTTTCATCATTTTTGCCTATTAATTCTCGAAAAACCGGAATAATCCGGAATAACCGGAGATCCGGGACTGTCACGGCCAAACCGGGATGTATGGTCACCTTACGAGTGAAAATGAAAAAATCAATTTTCAGTTTCAAATATAAAATTTAATTCAGATCAAAAATATGTTACCAATTAAAACTAGATACTTCTATGACAAAGTAAAAAATTAGATTATATAAAATTACATAAATTATGAATAATAAATAATATATGATATAAAAAAGTGCCTTGTTTTACACGATGTCCTCGAACGAAAAAATATAAGGAATAAAGGAATTGGGAAGAAGAATAATGCAGATGATTGATGACTGAAGCAACACAAAAAAATATAGGGAACAGAACGCCAAAGTACAAGGCCAGGAAACATGGAGCAGAACTTTGGAAAGGAAAATGTATAAAAGTGAATGAAAAGTGGTAATAAAATGGTAATAGAAATGATATACACAGAAGGGAAAGAAAATCATTAATTTATGAGGCTCTTGCACCATGGACCTGCCTTTGTGCATACTACCATTCATTATTTATTATTATTATGAAAATAATATACGTGCCGTTTGTATGTAAATCGGATCCATCCAAATTCGTGAAACCGGAGTTTCAAATTAAACGTTTGCTATATTTTTTTTTACAAAAATTAAATAGCAATTAAAAAAATCTATAAGCTATTATGTTGATTTGCTATAAAATTTTAAGAAATTATAGACAGAGTGAATAAGGATATTTGAGGTAGAAGTAGATAGTTTATAATGATTTTTGACTCTAAACACGTATTATATCAATATGCCTTTTCTCACATCGGCTATAATGATATCTAAAATACGTACTTTGATAGAAATATTATCTAACAATTATAATTTTGCTTAGATAAAAAAAGTACGGATGGGTTTTTCAATGGTTGTTTTTATAATACAAATCAAAATGCCACTTCATTCCTAAAATAATCTCTTCACATATTATTCTGTTATCTCATCGAAGATGTTTTCATCTCATCTTTTTTTTTAGTAAGTTCAATTAAAGTGTATGCGAAAACAACATAATTAAGATACTACTTATATAGATAAGTGGTACCTAATAATAATGAATAATGAATATGATGACGTTTTATTGCAAAATATAGATCGATATAGAGTATAAGATATATACATGCTCATTTCAATTTTGACATCCCAAAAATATGTATATATTTAAATATATGTATCTATATATATATATATATATATATATATATATATATATATATCTTTTCAATAAATTGCTCAGAGCTTATACCTATTATAAATCTATCAATGCAACAAGGTTGTTAGTTATTAACCGAGGGAATTCCCTTTAATTAAGGGCAATTACGTATCAAACAAGTTCGTATACAAGCTTGCAGTTCTTTTCTGATAGAATTGAAATAAATAAAGCAAAGTCGTCTTCGATATTACAAGCCGGCTTGCGTCTTTACGACTATAATTTCTGTACTTACCTATGCAATTGCGTGGACCAGTTCCGAATGGAAAATACGTGTAGGGAATTCTATTTCTTTTGGCTTCATCAGTAAATCGTTCAGGATTAAATTTTTCAGGATCAGGGAAATACTAAATAATATAAATAATTTGTATATTCGACTTATTTTTGTTCATATTGAATTCATTACTTACTTCTGGATCCATGTGTAATCCAAGCATAGGAATATATATTGGCGTTCCAGGATCCAAAACAACATCGTCATGAGGTTTTGGAAGGCGATATCCATTTGAATTATCAACTACTTTTCGGTCCAAAAACGCTAATGGTGGATATTTCCTCAAAGTTTCTGCATAACAAAGTAATATATAATATGAAATCGGTTTTATTTACAGCATTATTTACCTGATATAACCATGTCCAAATATGACATTTTATTGATGGATTCGTAAGTGATGTCGTCTTTTGCAATTATTTCTTTGATTTCAGCACGAAGTTTTTTTTGTACATCTGGGTTAATAGCTAGTTCATATAAAGTGTAAGACATTGTACTAGATGAGGTTTCAAAACCTGCAGTAAAAAATACAGCTGCTTGGGCTACCAAAGTGTCACCATCAAATTCTACAACAACAAGATGATTGTAATTTTTTATAAAACCAATAAAAAAATAAATCAGCAATTTTTACTTATTTCTCCTGGTGCTGTTTTAGCATTTTTCAAGTCTATTAGTACATCAACTAAATCGTGTCGTTTTGTTTTGGACTCTTCGCGAATTCTTATAGTTTCGTTGAAAGTGTTGCGGATGAATTCAGTTCCTTCATGGGCAAAAAATTTTAAACCTAGTAAACTCACAATTCTAGGAAAGAAGAAAAATGAACTTAATTCAAACACTCGTCTAAAGCTAACTTCAAAAATTTTTCTTCCAATTGATCTAAATTCAGCTTCTGGATTGTTCATGCAATTTGCTTTGATTCCATAAGCGCAGGTCGCGATAACATCGGTTGTGTATCTCGCACTTAATTCCCTTGCATTGTCACTTGGTTTTTTAGAATCAGCTAATTTGTGTAAATATTCATTTAAGTTTCTTCCTTCATCATTCATAAGATGAAACATACTCTTCATTTTTCCTGAGGTGAAAATGGGCGTCAGCTTCACACGCATTTGTTTCCAATCTGGATTTTTAATACTAAATAAATTTTTTGTTCCTAAAGTATCACCATCTCCAGCCACAGCTACAATACGATCGTAGAAGAAGTTAAAATCTTTAACTAAAATTGTTTTGATCCATTCAGGGTCTCGTACCAGCAACGAAGGTTTGTTGAACACATACATTCCTAAAGCTGGTGCTTTAGTCCTTTCATATAAAGACTTCATGAATATTCCTGAATTCACTTTAGCCAACAGGACATCTTTAAAGTTTCCAACAAATGGAAGCGGTTTGAAACTTGCTATTCCTTTCGACGACCAATAAGTAGAATAATTATGGTAATAATAAATAAATGTTCCTACAAATGTAACTAATAATAGAAATATATTTATCAAATCCATTTTGAAGAAACTGTATTCCAACACTTCACATCAAAGTTTGTCTAAAACTGAATCTCATTCCGAAATGTGTTGGTCTTTTATATTTCGCATAATGTATAATCATGAACTTTAAGATATTGAAATTTATATCTATTATATCAAGATAAACAGAGACAGTGATTTGTATAAAATAACACGCGATAGATGATACACACGCGAAATTATACAATTCAGAAGCGGCTGCAAAAATTTTGACGATAAATTTAGTTTGACGAAAAATTTTATAACTACAGAATTATTTAGCAGTACAAAAATTATTATGTAGCATACAATTTTATTTCTTCATTACTTTTACTCAAAATGGCTTAAATCGATTTAAATAATTAAAAAAAAAAATAAAAAGACGCAATTAATGCATTGTTTTTTTTTTTTTTCAAAAAATAGTTTTCACATTGGTTTTATCCATGTTTTCTAAATAAAATCACAAATCTATTTAAAATATTGTTAAATATTGTTGTTATTAGTATTGCAGATGTTCGACCCAGAAAATCATTTTGATACAATTACTTGGCAGAAACAAACAAGAATTATGATTATTATTAACATGTTGTTCCTGGTAGTTTTCAAGTGTCGGTTGGATGACTTTGTTACCAGACGGACGTTATCCATTTAACCAGTCAAAAGATATCAGGATTTACAAGGACCAACCATAAAGGTGGAGATACCTGAGAAAAAACGAATTTCTATGTATCGTTTGTGGTGATAATTTTGTTGATCACAAGTTTCAAAACACAAGTTTTTGCTCGTGGTTAAATAATTTGACTCGAAGTGATAGTTTTTCTCGATTTTTGAGCGTTTTTTATACGAGCTTGTTTAATAATTTTGTTAGTGTTTGTATAGTTTTACAAAGGTATTTATAGTGCTCTAGTGCAGTGATAGTGCCTTGTTCCCGATTCCTGATTCCTGGTTCCTGGTTGCAGGTTCGTGATCAGCTTTCTTCTGGAAATCTTGAGGTAATGCACAATTCTTTTTTAGCACAATAGTCAATATTTTATATAACATTTAAAAAAATATTTTTTTCTTTATTTTTTAGACAACAAATTGGTAATCGGGATGTTCCAGAAGAATCGGTGATTTTAAACAAAGGTCAGTGCATTTTTTTCCCTAGGCATGATTCCTAAGGGTACGGTCACACGTCTTGTTGTGGATTCACAAAAATAGATTTTTAACGAACTCTATCGATCTTTATCATTATTTTTCGATGTTTATGGATATTTTTTTAATTCAGTTAATTTTTTTATTAATATTGTCGATTTTCTACAAATATTCGAATCTCGTTTTTTTTTTACTATTCGGGAAGTTACAGCAACTTGCCAATTCAAAAAGTTTTTGTGAAAACTCTTCGTTGACGAACCATATTACACTTATTTATTAATTCATTAGTCAATTTATTAGTAACCAAGCAAAAATAAAAAAAACATTTTAAAGAATATAAATTATCCTCTCAAAGGATATAATAATATTATATTACCCAAATTAATGAATGAGAAATTAATAACTTAAAACATAGTTTCTTAAAATGTTTTTGCAAAGTTACCAATAAATTGTATTAATATCGAGTGTAAATAGATAATTGTTATATAGATGGGTTGAATCGTAAACTAGGTTATAGATAGGATTTTGTCAAATAATTATATGACTAACTAATTATATAATTAATATTTATTTATATATATATTTTAAATTGTGATCGTACCCTTCACACTGATTCACAAATTTGTTTCAGCCTAATAAAAAAGACCTCTTAAAATAGAAGTGAGTGTAGTAGGTAATAAAATTCGCGTAAATTAATTATTAAATAAAAGTGCCAATTAAATCAGTTTTGCATAATTTCGCGTAAATTGAAGTAAGTGTGTGCAAAATTTGACCCTGTGCAATTTTGCGAAGAAATGCTGACATCATGCAGCCTGAAAGGTAAGAAAAAGCAGCATCAGATTTTATTTAATTTATAAGTGATTATTTGAGGCAAAGAGATTATTTTACAAAACTTTATTACAACAAAGGTGTGTGAAATTTTTAGGATTTTGATATGAATTGAATCATTCTAATTGGATGATCGATTCTCTCAAAAACTTCATGACTATTTTTTTGCACTCTTTGCACTCAGTACTTGATACAAAATCTAAAAAAATTAATTTGTACATATTATTAAACCCTATGCAACATATCTGATAATTTTATACGCATACATCTAATAATTATTTTTGTCGATCAAGATAATATACATTTTTTAAGACAAGCTGGGTGTAAATGCATTTAAAAGATTGTCTCTTAAGAGATATCTCTCTCTTTTTAGACCAGCAAATAGAATCAAATATTAAAGATATGCAAAAAAAATCATTTTTGATTTTTTTGTTGCAATTACTATAACATACGAGAATTTAATAAAAATAAATGTATTCATTTATAAATTTATTCACATTTTATTAATTATGCATACAATATAAGCTTAGTCATATATTTATATCACAATCTCTATTTTCATTATTTGGTTAATATCAATTTAACAAAATTGACTAATAATGGTGCTTCCAGCAACTTATCTACAATAATTACAATAAAAACACTATAATAACAAGATAATTTAATATCAATCTTATCAAATCAAACTAATTACATAAATATCACCATAATTTAACAATGCTATCATCAATCAATATATGAAAGGCGTATCAATATTGCACAATGAATAAAAAAACAAATTTGCTGATCATATAAATGTCATTAAGAAACAAATAAGATGTTTCAAATATTATAACAATTTACAGAATCTAATTTTGTAATAAATTCGTGCAATCTTCACTAAATATGTGTGTAAATTTACTCTTAATATAGAATATTTGGATAAAAAATATTTTATTAATAATATTAAAGAAAAAATTGTTTATTAATATATTGAAGAAAATGTTCTTAGACTTCAGTTTTAGGAATTAGAATACATAATTTAAATAATTATTTTCGGTATCATTTGATTTAAAGTCAAATATGAGCGAAATTAACTAATATTTACACATATTAATCAATTCACACAAAAAAGTTAATTTGATATAGATATCTTCATCGTTAAAATTTCACTTGATGAACAAAAATCGATATACTAATATTTATCACGAGTATGTTCAGTGTGAAAAATAGATTTAACGAAAACTAGTATTTAAAAGTTAAAAATTCAAGTTTTATGATTTATAAGCTTTTTGCTACTAGAGTATTTCTCGCACGAGTGCTACTGCTGTACGAGCCACCAAGCCGCCCAAGTATCGGTACACAGAATATTTTAAGATTTTTAAGTCAATATCAATATCAGTGCATTTAAATTTAATTTACCCTTTAAGAAATACTGTTATACAAAACTAATAAACACAATAGCAATTTATAATTCTGAATAATTTAACTCGGAGTGATAAATATTAAAGTAAAAATCGACACACTTGATGTCGTCTATAGGCGACACTTGTACACACAGGTCGTCAAATAGATGTCGCATTGTAGAATAACTTTATCTCGTGTTGTTACCATCGGCCACAGAATTTGCCAGGTGTTGTCTTAAGCTCTCAAGAATTTCAAATTGATCGTGTCTTTCGGAGTCAGCAAGAAGGACAACGGAGTGAATGTGATCTTGCTGGGCGTGTCCGCGCATGGATGGACGGTGAAGTCTTTTAGCATGTGCACCAGACCCAGTTTCGTCTGCAGAAGACCGAATCTCTCACCTGGAACGATGGTAATGAAAACAAAAGTGAAGCCAAGAGATACAAGAATATAATACAGATCGATGCAAATACGTGGGACCGGAGTTCCATATCAAACATACATAGATTACTACAGGCGCATATACTTCAAACTTGAAACTTCGCAAAACGTGGATATTGAGAAGAACCATATCATGTGAAAGTTGTGTATTTGTATATATGCACATTTCAGTTTGGACGTTTACAAAAAGGTGGAATCATTGATATATATGGGTATTTGGCATCTTCATTTAAACGCATGGAAATTTAGTTCAATTGATCTATCTATTTTATTAACAAATTGCTCAGAGCTTGTACTTTGAATCTGTTAATGCAACAAGTTTGTCAGTTATTAACAGAGGGTAATTCCCTGCAATAAAGGGCATTTACGTATCAAACACGTCAGTATACCAGTTTGCAGTTATTTTCTGATAAAATTAAAATAAATGAAGCAAAGTCGTCTTCGATATTACAAGCCGCTTGCGTCTTCACGACTAGAATTTCTGTACTTACCTATGCAATTGCGTGGACCAGTTCCAAATGGGAAATACGTGTAGGGAATTCTATTTCTTTTGGCTTCATCAGTAAATCGTTCAGGATCAAATTTCTCAGGATCAGGGAAATACTACATAATATAAAAATTTAATTTTTCATATCCAACATATTTTCATTTATATCGATTTTATTACTTACCTCTGGGTCCATGTGTACTGCAAGCATAGGGATATATATTGGCGTTCCAGGTTCCAAAATAACATCATCATGAGGTTTTGGAAGACGATATCCAGTTGAATTATCAGCTACTTTTCGGTCCAAAAACGCCAATGGTGGATATTTTCTCAACGTTTCTGAATAACAAAATATTATATAGCATGTAATCAGTTTTGTGATTTACTGCAATATTTACCTGATATAACCATGTCTAAATATGACATTTTATTGATGGATTCGTAAGTGATGTCGTCTTCATCAAGTATTTCTTTGATTTCAGCACGAAGTTTTTCTTGTATATCTGGGTTAAGAGCTAATTCATATAAACTGTAAGACATTGTACTAGAAGAGGTTTCAAAACCAGCAGTGAAAAATACAGCTGCTTGAGCTACCAAAGTGTCACCATCGAATCCTACAAAAACAAAATGCTCAAAAAAAATTATAAAACTAATTGCAAAAAACTAAGAAGTTATGTTTACTTATTTCTCCTGGTGCTGTTTGAGCATTTTTTAGGTCTATTAGTACATCGACCAAGTCGTGTCGTTTTGTTTTA